GAGAGAGAGAGAGAGAGAGAGAGAGAGAGAGAGAGAGAGAGAGAGAGGGAAAGAAGGTATATTTGCCATAGATTAATTAGATTCTTGCTCTGATTAGAATATAAACGAAATGCTGCAGACAAACTCCAGCAAATAACTCATTCTTCGGTCGTCTTCTACCGGCACATGCCTCATGCAAGTGGACATCTGTGCTGCCGTTTTAGGAAAGCGCTTATCAATACCGATGAAGTAGAGAGAGTGTGAATATATAAACGAAATATGGAAAGAAAAATATCTCTGAAAATATCACAAAAAAGTAAAGTGCGAGCGAAGCGAGTCCTATTTGTAAATAGTCACTCACTACCGATCTGAACCATAGGGCTAGTTAAACGTAACCTCTATATCGATATCTTTCTAAAAACTTTCTTCAAAATTTATCGATTTTCATTACTACTATGGTGCATACATTCAATGCATTTTAATAATTTGAAGGGATTTTAACGTTGGTTTACGTCTATAGTAAAAACATTGACAATGACCTTCGCTTTTCCCGTCATCATCGATGTAAATATGAAACTTAAGCATATTATAACAAATTAACTGAGATACGAATATATGTCAGAGAATATCTAGTTACTTAACCCCTTTTCCCTATAAGAACTTTTCTTCAATAAGATCGTTCTTCAGAAAGTTATTCTACAAAACGGAAGGGCACAAATACTTACAGCTTAAAATCTCAATTTTGTTATATAAATGCTTTAGCTCAACATATATTTAGCGCAATGAACAAGAAAGGTCTTCTCGGGCCTCGTGAAATATACCTATCTTTAAGTAACAAGTAGTAGGGTAAGTAGATTAAGATTTGTGTCTGAGTGATTACTTCTCATTTTCGTATTTGAATCATTTTAACGGAATTTAACAGAATTTCGCCATTTCGCCATTTCGCGAAATTGCTATTGTTATCTCTCTTATTTGTTGCAAGAAGAAATCTTTATTTAATCATCTAATCATTCTCTCAGGCGAAACTTGAAAAATTTGTAAAGACAACAACAACACGAGCTCGCCTAAAAAAAAAAAAAAACTCATTTATTTTTAGTTTATATGATTGCTTACGACATACAGCGACATTTATAAAATCTACCTATCTCCGTTTAAAGCGTATCGAGACAATCGATCTTTTATCTACATTACAAACAGGTATAAGAACAAGTAATCAAATATAGCATAGCTAATAAATCTATAAATTTATTAGAAATTCTATAGCAAATCGTTGTAAGAGCTTGTATTAAGGAATAACGGATGTATTTCTTTTTCGCTTAATGTAGAAAACCAATCTAAGTTAAAAATTTCAGACTTACATTACAAGATAATTGTTTTCATCTAATAAGGTCTCTCTCATAATTTATGTAGAAAACTTCTAGAATTTGCACTCGTAAGGCATTGAAATGTTTCCTTAGAATACCAGGCAGGGGACGCTAAATATATTTCTTTTGTTTATGGTCTTGAAGACTGAGAGAAATTACCATCGAATAAAGTTTAGCTGTTGAGGAAGAAAAAGAGAGGGAAAGTTCCTATATATATATATATATATATATATATATATATATATATATAAATATTTTATTAGAGTTTTTGGTTTTTATTTATTTTGTTTTTCTCAAATGTACATACCTACATACATATATATATATACACACACACACACACACACATATGTGCATATATATATATATTTCTGTATAAATTACATTTGTTTAAAATTTCACCTAACAATAAAACGTTAATAAAACGCTTGATACCCAAACGCTTGTTATAGATTATTTGAATTGTTACAAACCGGCGCCGGTATCCAGCCAGAGAGATTTGCCGCGAAGGTATGTTAATAATTAATGCTAAAAATCACAATATCTTTTTAAAATTTTAATAAGACTCCTGTTGCTGCCGTCATTTTGCGTCATTTTTTTAATTACGGCAACTCGCTAATTCATAATCGTTTCCTCGAACATTATCAGTATGTAAGAGATTTTGTATTCTCTAGACATGAGTAGCTAGAGCTCCCTTTTTAGCCACACCATTACTATTAGACGGTAAGATAAATTGCCCGGGTGGACTCTGAGCTGTAGTGGCCACAGATGTTGCCATACTCGAGGGTGTACTAGCGGTGGGTTGTGCGAGCGGCGTAGCAGCCAGAGTATTACTGCTCGACGTAAGATTAGAACTGCTGCCGCTTACACTGGCTAGGCCATTGCTGGAGCTGATAATGCTGGCGGCTGCGCCAAAGTTTTTCAGGCTGCCCATAACACCGATGCCATTGGTGTTGGCATGATTGCGTGGCGCATGGTAGGGTGGAGGAGCTGGCGTTGCTGCTGGATTGGCAGTGCTGGGAGGTGGTAGAGGTGGGAGTACAGAAGAATTGGTACGCAGGTATGGATTGCCGTAGATGGCACTAAAGCGACTGTCTATTCCATTTTGCAAAAGGGATTGACCTATAATCAAAATTAACAAACAAATTCAATAAAAAATCTTAACAACAAAATCGCGGCAAACAACTAACCTAAAAATCCATTATTAATATTCGGTTGTTGCATATCGCTGCGATTGCGTGGTAAGCTCATATTGCTGTTGGTGTTTACTGAATTTGTATAGTGTGGCAAAGTAGCTGAATTAATAGTACTAGAGTTACTTTTAGATACTGACTCTACCGTCGATTTACTATCGTTGGGTGGACTGTAGTCCAAAGCGTACTCAAAGTAGGGAGCATAACCATTGACAGTTTCTTTAAAGTCTTGATTTTTAAGACTTTTCAAGTTACATGTACGTTTATATCGTTCACCGAATTCACCAGAAAATCTTTAAAGGAAAAAAATTTTTTAATAAATTTTACAAAATTAAATTTAATGATTTAATGACTCAAGAACCTTTCGTCCAATTTTACAGGACCTGCAAGCGGTACACCCAGTGTAGCTCCTTTCATTTGTACGTCAGGCATGGGTGCTTGCGTCAAATTGATAGCTAAGCCATCTGAACCATCCGTATAATCGGCTTCGTAGGCTTTGGCACGCATTTCACTTTTTAAATCCGCCAATTTATCGCCACCACGTGAAGCTTCTGGTATAACATCGGCTGGCATTGGTTTCTTTTTGTTACGTCTCATGTAAACTATTATTAGCATCACAACCATAATAATAATGGCCACTGACGACATTGAGCCCATGACCACCAAAAGGACGGGTACAGAACCAGCTAAAAAGTTTGTAATAACTTTTGAAATCTCAACAACCGCATTCAACTCCTTATCAAGCTTACGTTCGGGTATTAAAGTAATCAGCAATGAATCGCTGCCATATGAGTTGATAACTGTACAATTATATTTGCCAAAGTGATTGGAGCGGCTCTCTTTAATGATCAAAGCTGCTCGCACACCCTCAGGCAAATGATATTCTTCAAATATATACAAATCTGGATCAGCGCTGCTCATATTAATAATTTTTCCCTCATAGGACCACAAGATCTTTTCTGCTTTTGGTATGCTAAAGGCGAGGCAATCAATTTTGGCACGATGACCAACAGCTCCAAATTGAACTTTATGCGATGTGATAATGGGAGCACGTTTAACATAAATCGTAGCTTCGGCTCCGATTTCGGGAAAGCCCTCTACTATCGCTTTGCAGTAATAACGGCCAGCAGATTCAGTGGTTACTTTCAAGGATAGGTTCGCAGAGGTTCCAACAACCTACATATAAAACGATTACAAGAAATTTTAAGAATTCCCTAACAACAATTAATTTCGTAAAAGATTTACTCTGTCGGAATTTTCATTGATCCATTCGATTTCTGGAGATGGATTACCATCCACACCACAGCGAAGAGTCACAGTTGTACCCAAATCAGCTTCGACCGATGTGGGCCGTTGTCGAAAAATTGGACCATCTATTTGAAAAACATGAAACACGATTAACACGATGGCTCCAATTTATGTTTAAGCTTTTCACTTACAGCTTATGTCCAAGGTTTCACTTTCCTCGCTTTTACCTACAGCGTTAACTACCTCACATTTAACTATAGCATCGTGGTATTGACGTGAAACATTGTGAACAACCATTTTTGTGGTATAGTCACCCGTTACGAGCTCATCGTTAATAAACCAACGATAAGTTTGAACAGGAGGATTAGCGTCGGCTTGACATGATAGGATGATTTCGGCTCCTTCGGGAATACGCCCACCGGCTAAAGCTCCACCCACTACTGATACAGACACCTTTGGCGCATATTTCACTTCTAGCTCGACTTTAGCTGAACGATAAGTACGATCAGCCGTATTTTGAGCTTGGCATGTAAAGGTAGTGTTGTGATGTTCTTTCTTGGGTGTCAACTTCAGTATAGATTTGGCTGTCACTCGGCGTGTATCCGCTAAAGGTTCCTTAACGTATTCAATGCCTTTATTAATCACATTACCGAGGCCATCTATCCAAGTTATCTGTGAATTGAAATTTCAAATAGCTTCTTATGCAAATCTATTATAAAAGAATTTTACCTCTGCAGCGGGCTTTCCACCCACTGATACGCATTCTAATTCGATTTCTCGATCTTCAGTGGTAACCAAGTGATCACCTTGTAATATTTTGGGAGCCTCAGGTGGTACTAAAACGGTTAGTTTAGCAAAACGTGATCTAATGCCTGCCTCGCCTTGAGGTCCTGGGCCTACTTGACACTGATAACGAGCATCGTCATCTAACATTACAGGAAATATATCTAAAGAGAAATCGCCCTCCTCATCGCTACCGACCATCGAATAACGTTCAAAACCGCTTAGATTACGATGTTGCCCAAGGCCAAAATCATCTTTTGTCCATTGTAATGCACCTACTTTGTCGGTTACTCGGCAGGGCAAAGTCACTCTAGAACCTACTACTGCGGTTTGATCTTGCGGTTCCATTGCAAAATGTTGGCCCTCGGTAGGGGATTTCAAGTTATCCTCGTTGCTGTAATGTATGCTGGAGGTCTTTTTCGATTTCGATTTGGCCTCTGTTGTGCCGAATAGAAGCAACAACAATAGGACCAAACAACAACCCATAAGTTTCGCATGATTATATGTGGGAATGTTTGATGCGGTTGTTGTTGTCGGTGTAGATTTGTGCAGCGTTGTGGTTTTCGATACAAAGTGAATAATTACTTGTGGCATATTATAAGTTCGGCGGCTTTTTATAAAATGTCAGCACGCAAAAGCCTAAAATATGTACGAAGGGAAAGAAATGCATAAAATAAATGCTTTAATTATGACCATTTGTATTTTTCATTCTTAAATTATCGTAAATATATGAGGAAAGTGGCTTCAATTTTGGTCGTAGAAGAGAAAAATCCGAAAATTCCCTTATCTCGTTAAAAATTGTGTTTTTTTTTTTTTTGTCGGTTTTCACAAACTTTTAATATTTTGCGAAAAAAAAAAAACACAACAAAAAAGGAAAACAACAGAAAAGAAAATGTATACACAAATGTGTGCAGAGTTCGCAGGAAGATGAAAACTTTCGTAGCGTGTTAATGAAAACCGCTTTTCTAAAAACATTTTGTTTTTTACTTCACCAAAATGAAATAATACTTTTGCCCAAGTTTGCATTAGTTAATCATGTTGAAAGCGCTATAGTATATTTGCCTGTATTATATATATGTATGCATCGTGTGTGCCTGGGTTGATTTGTATGTATATATGCGAAGTGTAAATACCACAGGACAGATATGTTTTGTAGGAAACCGCCAATGGGTATATATATATATGTATGTACAGGCACGTGTGAACAAGCGAAAAATAACACAAATAAAAAAAATCAACAACAACAACGGCCTATATTCGGTCAGAATGGCGAACCCAGTTTCTATATTTTTTTCTCGTCGTCAACCTCAAAGAACTTTAGCAGCCTTTTAGTCCTTTAGCCAGAGGAAAGGGACTGCGAGACATATAGGAATATATATGGCTGGACAAACAACCAAACCATTGATGCGGCTATGTTTGGTCAACGAGCACAAATAAATGTGAATAGACGGTTTGAATGGCTCTCGCATTTGTAAACACATGTGATTGTATGCATGTGTGAATGCGAGTGTGTAATGATTGGTAAAATGTACTCGAATACTGTCTGTGAATATAAATGCGTAACTGCGAACATATTATATATATATATATATATATATATAGGTGTAAACCAAGATACAGAGCAATTTTATCCTGGCTTGAAGATCTGGTTGACATACGTTGTTGTTTTTTTGCTTGTGTGCATTATAGTAAGCAAATAATTTCATATAAATCACTGAATATCCTAAATATTATTCCATACACTTGAACATTCACACCCGTGCATGGGCCATGCCAGGGAGATGGGAAAATGAATATAAATAGAGCAAAAAGTTTGCTATCCTGACGCAGTCACTACCATTACGAGCAACATACGCAACATACACGCAAATATGAAAGCATGCATAAATATGAGCGTGGTCTTGTTTGCTTTCGTTTGATGTTGGTTTTGCAAATATTTTGTTTACTTTTACTAATTCATATGTATTAGTGTTTGATGTGCGGTTGTTCATTACACTTGTATAGACATAAATGCAAGCACATAAATACATACATACATACATACATACATACATACATACATACATACATACA